TGTGAAAGAATAGTGAAATTCCAAGCGCTTCGTAACTTCTCACATTATCAAGGAACTATAAAAACAATACATCAAAGGAAGGCATATAAAGGAGCGAGACCAAACCTCACCATCACATCCCACAACAAAGTGACACCTGACGTGCGACTACACCCGACTCATAAGAAAGGAGGAACACTGCAGCAGGCCCACTGGCCCAACTAGGCAGGTCCTCACATCCCACTAACAAAGTACTCTACCCAACGAATAAGGTTTACTATTTGTCCAATATATTATTAAATTCTTCCCAAATTTTATTAACTATAATGAATCTAATTTATATAAACCAAAGGAAATATTCCTATTATTGTCAAAACTGCTTTTTATGAAACAAGATTCAATTATATTTCTGTCGACCATGGACTTGCTTGATACTACTTTCTCAACTTTTTGAAAATCAATTGGATGGTTAAAATCTCTCACATGAATAAACAGAGCATTGGAATCTTGTCCAGTTCTAATGCTATATTTATGTTGTTTTAATCTTAGTTCGAGACTTTTACCAGTTTGACCGTAATAAACTTTATCGCAAATTTTACAAGGAATCTTATAGACACATCCATCAGCATTTTGGGGGGAATTCTTTATCAAAAGTTTTTTTTACTGTATCAAGATTTTTAAATACAACTTTGATATTAAAAGTCTTAAGAAGAGAAGGCATATCAACCAAGTTTTCATGGTAAGGGAGAACCAACATATTTTTAGTTGAATAAGGTTGGTTGTCCCTTTTTGGAGTGTAAAAAGTATTTCTAGCAATTTTAAATGATCTATCAGTTACATTTCTTGTGTATTTTAGATTACTAGCTATTTCATAAATTTTGGATGTTTTTTCTTCTATGAACTCTGGACTACGAATGCAGATGGAATTACAAATAAATGAGAGGAATGCCATGAAAGAATCATTATAGCACTCCCAGAAATTAAATTCACCAGGATGATAACAGGCGCAACCTTCCCCCCCCCCCCCCGATATCAGATCCTGAGGGATCAGAAGGGAGCAGGAGGAGTTGCACTGCTCATTAAAAATCGATGGGGATATGAGGAAATGGAAGGAATGGACGAAATGGGCGAAAGGGACTACACAGTAGGTACAATTCAGTCTGGGGGACAGAAGGTAGTCGTTGCAGTGATGTACAACCCGCCACAGACCCGCAGGAGGCCAAGAGAGGAATATGAAGAGAGCAACAGTGCAGTGGTAGACACACTAGCTGAGGTGGCCAGAAGAGCTCACACGGGTAAAGCAAAGCTACTAGTTATGAGTGATTTCAATCACAAGAAGATTGATTAGGAAAACCTGGAGCCACGTGGGGGTCCCGAAACATGGAGAGCCAAGATGATGGATGTGGTACTGGAAAACCTAATGCATCAACATGTTAGGAACACTACCAGAGAGAGAAGTGAGCATGAACCAACAAGACTGGACCTCGTATCCACCCTGAGCAACTCGGACATCGAGGACATCACACATGGCCCCTCGGAGCTAGTGATGACGTGGGTCTGAGCTTTGAATACATAGTAGAGTTACAAGTGGAGAAGGTAACAGGCATAGGATGGGAAAAGCCAGACTACAAAAGGGGGGACTACACAGGCATGAGGAACTTTCTGCAAGAGGTTCAGTGGGAAAGAACATTGGTAGGAAAATCAGTAAACGAAATGATGAACTACGCGACAACAAAATACAAGGAGGCAGAGGAGAGGTTTGTTCTCAAGAGCAACATAAATAATGGGTAGACGAAAACAAGCCCTTGGTTTACCCAGAGGTGTAGGGAGGCAAAAACTAAGTATGCTAGAGAGTGGGAAAAGTACAGAAAACAAAGGACCCAGGAAAATAAAGAGATTAGTCAAAGAGCCAGAAACGAGTATGCACAGATAAGGAGGGAGGCCTAACGACAGTATGAAAAACGACATAGCATCGAAAGTCAAGTCAGGCTGTGGAAGAAAGGCAGAAAACTCACAAGAAATGATCAAGAAGTATGTGAGGAGCTCAATATGAGATTTGAAGAAGTATTGACAGTGGAGACAGAAAGTACTCGGGGAAGTCAGAATAGGGGAAGTACACCAACAAGGGATATACCAACAAGTGCTGGATGAAATACACACAACCAATGAGGAGGTGAAGAGGCTGCTAAATGAACTTGATACCTCAAAGACGGTGGGACGGGACATCTCTCCATGGGTCCTTAGAAAAGGAGCAGAGACGCTGTGTGTGGAACTAACAACAATTGTCAACACATCCATTGAAACTCGCAACTACCTGAGGTATGGAAGACGGCAAATGTAGTCCCCATTTTTAAGAATGGAGACAGACACAAGGCACTAAACTACAGACCACTGTCACTGACAAGTATAGTATGCAAAATCATGGAAAAGCTTATCAGAAGGAGAGTGGTGGAGCACCTAGAACAAGCATATAAACCTGAACAAGCATGTAAACAACAGCCAGCACGGATTCAGGGAAGAAAAATCCTGTGTCACAAGCCTACTGGAGCTTTATGAAAGGGTGACAGAAGTAAGACACGAGAGAGAGAGGGGTGGGAATTGAATTTTCTTGGACTGTAAGAATATCTTCGACACAGTTCCTCACAAGAGATTATATCTGTAGAGGGTTTCGGGGGTCAACGCCCCTGCGGCCCGGTCTGTGGCCAGAACTCAGTGCAAAAGATAGAGGATCCGGCACACGTAACAGGAAGGGCATTACAATGGATCAGGAATACCTGACAGGGAGGCAACAACGAGGTGTCAGAGTGGGCGCCTGTGACGAGCGGGGTTCCACAGGGGTCAATCCTAGGACCAGTGCTGTTTTTGGTATATGTGAATGACATGACAGAAGGGATAGACTCAGATGTGTCCTTGTTTGCAGATATATGATGTTAATTACTCGAATTAAATCGAATAAGGATCAGGCAGGATTACAAAGAGACCTGGACAGGCTGCAATCCTGGTCCAGCAACTGGCTTTTTTAATTTAATCCCACCAAATGCAAAGTCATGAAGATCAGGGAAGGGCAAAGAAGACCGCAGACAGAGTAAAGGCATGGTAGCCAAAGACTGCAAACCTTACTCAATGAAAAGGATCTTGGGGTGAGTATAATACCGAGCACATCTCCTGAGGCGCACATCAACCAGATAACTGTTGCTGTATATGGGCGCCTGGCAAACCTGAGAATAGCGTTCCGATACCTCAGTAAGGAATCATTCAAGACTCTGTACACCGTGTACGTCAGGCCCATATTGGAATATGCAGCACCAGTCTGGAACCCACATCTGGTCAAGCACGTCAAGGAATTAGAGAAAGTGCAAAGGTTTGCAACAAGACTAGCTCCAGAGCTAAGAGTAATGTTCTACGAAGAAAGGTTAAGGGAAATTGGCCTGACGACACATGATAACGAGACATGATAATGACATACAAAATACTGCGAGGAATTGACAACGTAAACAGAGACAGGATGTTCCAGAGAAGGGACACAGAAACAAGGGGTCACAATTGTAAGTTGAAGACTCAGATGAGTCAAAGAGATGTTAGGAAGTATTTCTTCAGTCATAGAGATGTCAGGAAGTGGAATAGTCTGGCTGACGTAGTGGAGGCAGGAATCATACATAGCTTTAAGATGAGGTTTGATAAAGCTCATGAAGCAGAGAGCGGACCTAGTAGCGACCAGTGAAGAGGCGGGGCCAGGAGCTATGATTCTACCCCTGCAACCACAATTAGGTGAGTACAGTCACAAACTTACACCCTTGTATCTTTCACAAACACTGCTGTCATTAGAGCTACCACCACATCATTTGTTTTTAATTGTGTTGCAACTTTCCCTAGAGAAAACTGAGGTGGAAGCCAGTCTGGTGGCAGAGAGAGTCGCTGCTGGTGACCACGTCTCTGTAGACTGTCACATCAAGATTGACCCCCATCTCCACCCCACCGTCACCTGGTTCAAGGACGACGAACAGATCGACCTTGAAGACGACAAGTTCTATCTTGGACGTAGAGGTAGGTGTTACTTCAGGTGTAGAGGTAGGTGTTACATCAGGTGTAGAGGTAGGTGTTACATCAGGTGTAGAGGTAGGTGTTACCTCAAGTGTAGAGGAAGGTGTTACCAGATGTAGAGGTAGGTGCTACCTCAGGTGTAGAAGTGTTACCACAGGTGTAGAGGTAGGTGTTACCAGGTGTAGAGGTACGTGCTACTTCAAGTGTAGAGATAGGTGTTACCACAGGTGTAGAGGTAGGTGTTACCTCAGGTGTAGAGGTAGGTGTTACCTCAAGTGTAGAGGAAGGTGTTACCAGGTGTAGAGGTAGGTGCTACCTCAGGTGTAGAAGTGTTACCACAGGTGTAGAGGTAGGTGTTACCAGGTGTAGAGGTAGGTGTTACCTCAGGTGTAGAGGTAGGTGTTACCTCAGGTGTAGAGGTAGGTGTTACCTCAGGTGTAGAGGTAGGTGTTACCTCAGGTGTAGAAGCCGGTGTTACCTCAGGTGTAGAAGTAGGCGTGTGTTGGATTATTTCAGCTGCCTTCCAGTCAACATTGTGACTGATAAGGTCGACAGTGCTATACAGCAGATTAGTTTGTTTAAGAAAAAACCTCGGGAATGATAGTGTCAGTACAGTTACATACTATTAAATGGTATCTTAAAAGTAATTACATCATTTTCAATTATATAACATTAAAATTCTGATAGGTATTATGTTATGTGAGTACTGTCACTTAATAAATAAATCTTTTAGTTCCTGTATTTTCGTCAATACAAGATTACTATTATATTCCTCAGGAAGTTTTAAACATTTTGGAGTCACACAGCATCTGGAAAATGAGATTTAATGTAATAAGGTTTGATTCAATAAAGAGAAGGGAGGCTCTAGTTCCCCCGGATCACTACAAGCATCACCATGCTCCGAAGATCATGTCACATATGCTCCCCCTTTTCTAAGCTTCTGACAAAAATTCCATATAGGAAGTGAAAGGCCTCAAGCACTCTCCTGCCCTGCCTGTGGTTTATTACATTCTCTTGGGTCATATACACATGTTGCATATTTTAATTAACGTTTGAATTATAATGTCTTTGAGGTACATTTATAGTATTTTAAAGGGAATTATTAGATATCCAAGATTTAGAACTTTCTACGAAGATTTGATGACTGTCAAGATGTTATATACTGCCTCCACACAGTGTAAGTATGCATACTGCCTCCACACAGTGTAAGGATGTATACTGCCTCCACACAGTGTAAGAATGTATACTGCCTACACACAGTGTAAGTATGCATACTGCCTCCACACAGTGTAAGGATGTATACTGCCTCCACACAGTGTAAGAATGTATACTGCCTACACACAGTGTAAGTATGCATACTGCCTCCACACAGTGTAAGGATGTATACTGCCTCCACACAGTGTAAGAATGTATACTGCCTACACACAGTGTAAGTATGCATACTGCCTCCACACAGTGTAAGGATGTATACTGCCTCCACACAGTGTAAGAATGTATACTGCCTACACACAGTGTAAGTATGCATACTGCCTCCACACAGTGTAAGGATGTATACTGCCTCCACACAGTGTAAGAATGTATACTGCCTACACACAGTGTAAATATGCATACTGCCTCCACACAGTGTAAGGATGTATACTGCCTCCACACAGTGTAAGGATGTATACTGCCTCCACACAGTGTAAGGATGTATACTGCCTCCACACAGTGTAAGTATGCATACTGCCTCCACACAGTGTAAGGATGCATACTGCCTCCACACAGTGTAAGGATGTATACTGCCTTCACACAGTTTAAGGATGTATACTGCCTCCACACAGTGTAAGGATGTATACTGCCTCCACACAGTGTAAGGATGTATATTGCCTCCACAGTGTAAGGATGTATACTGCCTTCACACAGTGTAAGGATGCATACTGCCTCCACACAGTGTAAGGATGTATACTGCCTCCACACAGTGTAAGGATGTATATTGCCTCCACACAGTGTAAGGATGTACACTGCCTCCACACAGTGTAAGGATGTATACTGCCTCCACACAGTGTAAGGATGTATACTGCCTCCACACAGTGTAAGGATGTATACTGCCTCCACACAGTGTAAGGATGTATACTGCCTCCACACAGTGTAAGGATGTATACTGCCTCCACAGTGTAAGGATGTATACTGCCTCCACACAGTTTAAGGATGTATACTGCCTCCACACACTGTAAGGATGTATACTGCCTCCACACAGTGTAAGGATGTATACTGCCTCCACACAGTGTAAGGAAGTATACTGCCTCCACACAGTGTAAGGATGTATACTGCCTCCACACAGTGTAAGGATGTATACTGCCTCCACACAGTGTAAGGATGTATACTGCCTCCACACAGTGTAAGGATGTATACTGCCTCCACAGTGTAAGGATGTATACTGCCTCCACACAGTTTAAGGATGTATACTGCCTCCACACACTGTAAGGATGTATACTGCCTCCACACAGTGTAAGGATGTATACTGCCTCCACACAGTGTAAGGAAGTATACTGCCTCCACACAGTGTAAGGATGTATACTGCCTCCACACAGTGTAAGGATGTATACTGCCTCCACACAGTGTAAGGATGTATACTGCCTCCACACAGTGTAAGGATGTATACTGCCTCCACAGTGTAAGGATGTATACTGCCTCCACACAGTTTAAGGATGTATACTGCCTCCACACACTGTAAGGATGTATACTGCCTCCACACAGTGTAAGGATGTATACTGCCTCCACACAGTGTAAGGAAGTATACTGCCTCCACACAGTGTAAGGATGTATACTGCCTCCACACAGTGTAAGGATGTATACTGCCTCCACACAGTGTAAGGATGTATACTGCCTCCACACAGTGTAAGGATGTATACAACGAGAGGTGTACGTCTCACAATATATGTTGAGAGTTTACTCTGATCCTTGTATATAGAGACCAAAAATATTCTTGACTGGTTACACGTGTAGTCGATTGTCTTTAAAGTCAATTAAGTAGCTACCAGCCAGGGTAAGAACAAGTATCATCACTGATGAAGACACAGCTGGTGATCGAACACTGTTCACTCTGCTTCATCACCTTATAACTATTAACCAGCGATATAACTGTAGTAATGGTACCACATGCATTTTAAATGTGCTTTACCTTTCATTCAACGTAATTAAACAAATATGAGGTAAACTCAAGGTCGTAATGAAGAACTGTCAGTGAAGAAACATAAAAATGAACGGTGACTTGAACCGTGGTTGTCATATTTAGCAGCGTTACAACTGCTCCCTCACACACCTAACATTATTTACAACCATCGCTGCTATGTCACAGTTGTATCACCGACATTAACTGTGACCCGTCCATTCTTCTGGTTCTTAGGTGATGTTTTGTAAAGTGACTTTCTTAGTTAGGTTATAAGAACGTCAGTTAGAATTTACATATTATATCTCACTGTTAATAAGGTTTTTTGCTAAATCATGAATATTCTTTAACACTATTATGAAATATGTTGATAATAAAAGTATCTCAAAAGTATTTATTTTTCTATAATATTCAAGTGACGTAAGTAGTGGAGGCTTTTAAATATAGTGAAGCGTAGAACACAGTGTATGAGAAAGTCCGCAGTTAACATATACCAGTAGTGATCAGAAAGGAATTAAATTAGGCTCAATGCTGAGCCTAAATAAATATAACTCTTCACAGAAGACTTCCATGACGGTGACAGTGACGGAGAGAAAGATGACGTTGATGGTGACGGTCGTGAGGAGGAGACGTGGGTGCTGGAGATCCTGAAGGTTCATGGTCACCACTCCGGGGTCTACACCTGTCGCGTCCACACCGAGGTCGATGATGCTTCTGACGACCTCATCCTCACTGTCGAGGGTGAGTCATCCTGTATCTAAATGGTTTAGAAGAACGACAAGTTGAAAAATGAGACAATTGTGCAACATTTGGGAATCTTCATCGTGCAAACGTTTCGCCAGCCAGTGGATTCTTCAGTCCAATACAGAGAAGAACGGTGGAAGATGGAAGAAGTTTTAGGTAATCAGTCCTCTAGAAATGTCTTGAGAAAAGTACTTTTTCTTACGATTGATGGACTGAACACATCGACTAAAGGCTGAGGGACTGATCACCTCAAACTCCTTCTCATCTTCCAAAGTTCTTCTCTTTACTGGACTGAAGAAGCCAATGCCTGGCGAAACGTTTCCTCAGCAAAGATTCCGAAACGTTGCACAGGTATCTTACTCTTTACTTCTGCTACTACTACTACTACTACTACTACTACTGCTGCTACTACTACTACTACTACTACTACTACTATTACTACTACTGCTGCTACACTCTACTAGAGTTGCTCCACTAAGGTTACAGCACTTTACGTCAAATTTTACTCCCACAGGAGTAAAATCGTGATATAGATTAACAAATATTGCTAAGTAAGTCAAGTTGAAGACCCCGTAGATGATCTGTTCATTTATTTCTGAGAGGTTGTATCTGTGTGTGAGTCAGCGCAGCACTGGAGCAACTCTGTATGTGAGTCAGCGCAGCACTGGAGCAACTCTGTGTGTGAGTCAGCGCAGCACTGGAGCAACTCTGTGTGTGAGTCAGCGCAGCACTGGAGCAACTCTGTGTGTGAGTCAGCGCAGCACTGGAGCAACTCTGTGTGTGAGTCAGCGCAGCACTGGAGCAACTCTGTGTGTGTCAGCGCAGCACTGGAGCAACACTGTGTGTGAGTCAGCGCAGCACTGGAGCAACTCTGTGTGTGAGTCAGCGCAGCACTGGAGCAACTCTGTTTGTGAGTCAGCGCAGCACTGGAGCAACTCTGTGTGTGAGTCAGCGCAGCACTGGAGCAACTCTGTGTGTCAGCGCAGCACTGGAGCAACTCTGTGTGTGTCAGCACAGCATTGGAGCAACTCTGTGTGAGTCAGCACAGCACTGGAGCAACTGTGTGTGTCAGCACAGCACTGGAGCAACTCTGTGTGTGAGTCAGCGCAGCACTGGAGCAACTCTGTGTGTGTGTCAGCGCAGCACTGGAGCAACTGTGTGAGTCAGCACAGCACTGGAGCAACTTGTGTGTGAGTCAGCGCAGCACTGGAGCAACTCTGTGTGAGTCAGAGAAGCACTGGAGCAACTCTGTGTGTGAGTCAGCTCAGCACTGGAGCAACTTGTGTGTGAGTCAGCACCGCACTGGAGCAACTCTGTGTGAGTCAGCGCAGCACTGGAGCAACTCTGTGTGTGAGTCAGCGCAGCACTGAAGCAACTCTGTGCGAGTCAGCGCAGCACTGGAGCAATCTGTGTGAGTCAGCGCGGCACTGGAGTAACTCTGTGTGCGAGTCAGCGCAGGATTGGAGCAACTCTGTGTGTGAGTCAGCGCAGCACTGGAGCAACTCTGTGTGAGTCAGCGCAGCACTGGAGAAACTCTGTGTGTGAGTTAGTACAGCACTGGAGCAACTCTGTGTGAGTCAGCACAGCACTGGAGCAACTGTGTGAGTCAGCGCAGCACTGGACCAACTCTCTGTGAGTCAGCGCAGCACTGGAGCAACTCTGTGTGTGAGTCAGCACAGCACTGAAGCAACTTGTGTGAGTCAGCGCAGCACAGGAGCGACTCTGTGTGTCAGCACAGCACTGGAGGAACTCTGTGTGAGTCAGCGCAACACTGGAGCAACTCTGTATCTGAGGCAGCGCAGCACTGGATCAACTTGTGTGTGAATTAGCGCAGCACTGGAGCAACTCTGTGAGTCAGTGCAGCACTGGAGCAACTCTGTGTGAGTCAGCGCAGCACTGGAGCAACTATGTGAGTCAGCGCTGCACTGGAGCAACTTGTGTGTGAGTCAGCACAGCACTGGATCAACTCTGTGTGTGAGTCAGAGCAGCACTGGAGCAACTCTGTGTGACTCAGCACAGAACTGGAGCAACTCTGTGTGAGTCAGCGCAGCACTGGAGCAATTATGTGTGAGTCAGGGCAGCCCTGGAGCAACTCTGTGTGAGTCAGCACAGCACTGGAGCAACTCTGTGTATGGGTCAGCGCAGCACTGGAGCATCTGTGTTTGAGTCAGCGCAGCACTGGAGCAACTCTGAGTCAGCACAGCACTGGAGCAATTCTGTGTGAGTCAGCGCAGCACTGGAGCAACTGTGTGTGAATCAGCGCAGCACTGGAGTAACTCTGTGTGTGAGTCAGCACAGCACTAGAGGATCTCTGTGAGTCAGCACAGCACTAGAGCAACTCTGTGAGTCAGCACTACACTGGAGCAACTCTGTGAATGAATCAGCGCAGCACTGGAGCAACTCTGAGTCAGCGCAGCAATGGAGCAGCTCTGTGAGTCAGCGCAGCACTGGAGCAACTCTGTGAGTCAGCACATCACTGGGGCAACTCTGTGAGTGAGTCAGCACAGCACTGGAGCAACTCTGCATGTAAAGACAGGTTCTCGTGATTGGGAGAGAAGAGTTTCCGCGTCTCCATTAACAGACAGAGGATCGAACCTTCAATACTTCACTTCTTTCACTGAATAACCCACAATTGTTTAGTGCTCTATATAAATATAAAAATGAAGATAAAAAATGTATATGCAATTGTTCTAGTCTCTTATGTGAATAGAATGTAACAGTTGTAATTGAAAAAATGGCATATTCATGTTGGCTTACTGTTGTGTATATTACAATAACAGGCCTTTGTCTGTAGGCTTAGTGTTCTGTAGATTAAACTTCTGTAGATGTGTTGAATAACAAAAGTTAACTTAGACACACTAAGACAAGTAAATAATGCATGTACAGATGTGCCGAACCCACCGCACCTGATGGCGGTAGAGTGCAGGGACCGAGAGGCCTTCCTGGAGTGGGCCTCCGCTGGGGACAACAACGCCCCGGTACAAGGCTTCTTTATTGAGTACACCACCTCTTATCATCCTGATGTGTGGAAAGCTGCAACTAATAAGATACCAGCGTCTTCAACTTCCTTCTCAGTGAGTATAGCAGAGCTGCCTGAGATATTCACAACAAGAAGAAAAAAAACTTCTATACTCCTCTCTTAAACCTTCGCAAGCAAATCTCTGAACTGCAGTTATACCCACATCCTCTACCAGTAGCTCCCTCATTGCCAGCATGACCATACATCAACAGTATTAAACCCAAGCATCTGTTACATTCCTTAACGATAAAACATAATATAATCATCTTCAATACATCCTCAGCCATAAATGGAAAAGTTCTCCATGTTCTGAGTTCGTGAATGTAAAATATCTGCATCTTTACCTGTTGACCTAAACACACACAAAGCCTCGCTGGCGTCAAGCCTACGTCCATTATAAGATACACTACCTGTGTCCTGCTTCATCCTTCCCTCACCAGTGATACATGTATTACTTACTCGTTTCCTATCAGTTATGCGAGAGCTATATATATTTTATTAGCTTACTGAATATAAATATTTTTCCTTCATTTACTCTAACACTATTTGTGATGATTTCTTGTGTGATACACCATGGCTACAGTAATGTCAGAATTCAGAGTTCATAGCAACACTAATGTTCAGTGTAAAATATCAGAGTTCATAGCTACACTAATATTTAATGTGAATCTTCTACGGGCTACGCTATGTCAGTCTCAGGTTATTGTAAACAAAGGTAGATCACACACTGTCTAGCTCATTACGCTGCTCTGTTGCGCTTACGCAGTGTAGTTGGTGTGAGTATATGTATTCGCCAGCTTGTGATTACGACGATCGAGTCTCGAATCCCAGCTTCGCCTCTAACCGGCTTTACTAATCTTGACTTGAATGTGTATGTTTGTGTGTATGCACTTGCCTACTTGTGATTGCATGGTCGAGTCTCGGATGGTAGCCTCGCCTCAACCGAGTTCACTCAGTCCTAGTATATCATTCTTTTTCTTAAGGGCATGTCTGGAGGTCTGATTCATCACTTTTCTTCCGTTTATTCCCATCTTAATCCTGTTTCCTGCATCTCGGTCATTATTTATGTATCTTCCTTCACAAGTTCTCTAAAAAATCGTGTTGTGAGAAATTATGTGGATGAATTTTTGAAAGTAGTCTTGAATTAACCTTCCACCCACATAACTGGGGAGAACTCTGGTACTTCTAAAGCAGATTATACCTACTGATACTGATGTACCTCGGAGATATGTGGGACATCAGTGACAATGGGTCACAACACTGTCCCTCCTCAGTGTCCACCGTCTCAGCTTCCCAACTCACACTTCGGAACCTCAGATTAGGAACATGTGCTTCTTGAATATTAGGAAAATTTAAGCCAGTAACACTGGCAATTTAGGTTATGGACTGTATAATATAGACAGGCAACTAATACTGGCCAATAACTAGTTACTTTACCTGTTGTGAGTTTTAATTTACATTGGGAAGCGAACATAAATTATATTATTGTAGTTCACAGGTTGGTCAACATTATCGCGTCCATTATTATATTCCTTATCAGTCTTATTATGACAGTTTCACAATATATCTGAACCCTTCTTGATACTCATTAGATTCACTCATTTCATGGTCCCAAGTTTTTGCTGATACTCTTTCTATCAGCCTCGACGACCCACTATTAAATTCTGCAACACTCGTTAATGTTTATGTTCCACCATTTTTGATGCCTCTCCTAAAACAATTATATTATACACATGTATTTTATTATATTCAGTGACATTTCCAGGTGTGCAGTACATTTTCTATATCAGAATATGTATTTCCTTTAAATTACACTGGTTACATTTTACTTAATTAACAGATTACAATAATAAGGAAAGTGTGAGAATATAGGTTCTCATATGACTTAACACCTTTTTATAAGTCGTGATAAAGATACACACCAACACTATTACATAAACATTATTTTCCTGTTAATTAGCACACAAATTACAGGAAAATTATCAAAATTTTCCCCACATATCTCCTTTAGTCCTTCAAGCCTCTAATGTCGTCAGGGTTCACTTGTTTATGTTTCTCCCCACAGGTTACTCTCATAGGCTCCAAGACTTAGTCTCGTTCCACACTTCAATATTTTCTTTAGTTTCTGAACGTGCTTAATTAGGTCTCCCTGACACAATACCAATAAGTGGATGCTTCAGTTATTTTTTCCTCCAAAGTCTCGGTTATACACTAAGAACACCTTACCTCGTTGGTGAAGGTTCATGCAACTATTGGAGTGTGCAAGTGCTCTCTGGTTAATGTTATATAGATCTGATAACTATAAAATCCTCTAATAATTGTCTTCAAACATCTAACAATGGTGTATCCTTCTCAAAAAAAAAAAAAAAAACAGAGAGTTATTGAAGAATGTACGTGAATACCTGTTTGCTTCACGTGTAAAAGTAGCGTGATTATTCCCCCTTTAAATCACGTTAAATATATTTGAGTATACCTCTTTTGAATGTCTCTGATACTTGATACTTCATACGTACAGGATAGTACCCAGAAAGTTTAGTCTGTGTATACGAGAATTTTCCAACGCATGTACATAGCTAAAATAAATGGAATAATTTGATTCCGTGTGATAACTCAAAAATGCTTCTTCTAGTCGTCTTCAAACTTTCAACATTGGTGTCTTACTTTTATTATGAACACAGACATTGTTCAACGGCATATTGTACCTGATTATAGGAAATACGCCAGTGAGAGAGCAGTCAATACAGGAGTCAACGAATTTTCTAGAGTATCCCTAGAGTGCCTCTATTTTTCCACCACCAATATGAGCAGATTATGGGAGAAGAGAGAGAGAGAGAGAGAGAGAGAGAGAGAGAGAGAGAGTACTCTCTATACACCCATGCGGATGACAGGACTCTTAGTGTCAATCAGCTGGGAGTGGTCGAGGGACTGACCTATAGTACAGGAATGTGCACTTCACCTTTTCTTTCTTACTTTATCTCTGTGGTTTCTTTGTGGAACTTTAATAAATTTCTGAGACAGAATATGCCATCTATGAATCTCCCAGGATGTGTCCAAAAACAAGGTGCATGTGTGCGCTAGGTGAACATGGGCCCAGGTTCACCTCTAAAGTGTGTGTGTGTGTACTCACCTATTTGTGATTGCAAGGGTTAAGTCCTGGTCCCGCCTCTTCACTAGTCGCTGCTAGGCCCACTCTCTCCCTGATACATGAGCTTTATCGTACCTCTTCTTAAAGCTATGTATGAATCCTGCCTCTACTACATCACTCTCCAGATTGTTCCACTTCCTAACAACTCTATGGCTGAAGAAATACTTCCTAACATCCCTGTGACTCGTCTGAGTTTTCAACTTCCAGTTGTGACTCCTTGTTGCTGTGTCCCATCTCTGAAATATTCTTTCCCTATCAACTTTGTTAATTCCTCTCAGTATTTTAAAAGTCGTTATCATGACACTCCTATTCCTCCCATCCTCCAGTATCGTCAGGTTAATTTCCCTTACCCTCTCCTCGTAGAATATACCCCTTAGCTCTGGGACTAGTCTTGTTGCAAACCTTTGCTCTTTCTGTAATTTCTTAACATGCTTGATCAGGTGTGGGTTCCAGAGTGGTGCTGCATACTCCAATACCAGCCTGACCTACACTGTGTACATTGTCTTGAATGACTCCTTACTCAAGTGTCGAAACGCTGTTCTTAGGTTTGCCAGGTGCCTATATGCTGCAGCAGTTATTTGATTGATGTTTGCCTCAGGAGATGTGCTCTGTATGATACTCACCCCAAGATCCTCTTCCTTGAGTAAGGTTTGCAGCCTTCAGCCCCCTATCCTGTATTCCGTTTAAGCCCACTTGGTGGGGTTAAACTCCAGGAGCCATTTGTTGGACCATGTTTACCACCTGTTCAGATTCGTTTGTAGTCCTACCTGATCCTCACCCATTTGAATTCTCGACATTAGCTTTATATCATCTACGAACAGAGACATCTCTGAAACTATCCCTTCCTTCACGTCACTGAAATATACCAGAAACAGCACCAGCCCTAGTACTGACCCTTGTGGAACCTCGCTGGTCATATGTGCCCGCCCTGACACCTCATCACATCTCATCATTCACTGTTTCCTTAGTGCTAGGTATTCCCTGATCATTTGCAGTGCCTTTCCTGTTATTCCTGACTGTTCCCCTAGCTTTTGCACTAATCTCTTGTGTGGAACTGTGTCGAAAGCCTTCTTACGGTCCAAGAAAAAGCAGTTTACCCACCTCTCTCTCTCTCTCTCTCCCTCTTGTCTTTCTTCTGTCACCTTGTCGTAAAACTCCAGTAGGTTTGGGCACAGGATTTTCCATCTCTGAAACCATGCTGGTTATCGTGTATAAGCTCATTCCTTTCTAGGTGCTCCAGCACTCTTTTCCTGATAAGCTTCTTTTTGCAAATTATACACGTTAGTGACACTGCTCTGCAGTTTAGTTCTGCCTCTCTGTCTCCTTTCTTAAAAATTGGGAATACATCAGGGAGTTGCCCTGATTTGATAGATGTGTTGAAGACTGTTGTTAGTGGCACACACAGTGCCTCTGCTTCCTCTCTCAGGGCCCTTGGAGAGATGTTGTCCATTCCCACCGCCTTTGAGGTATCTAGTTCACTTAGCAATCTCCTCATCTCCTCCTCGGTTCTGTGCAGTGTGTCCAGCACTTGTTGGTGTATCCTACCATCCCAGTTTTAAGGAGTCCTTTCTGTCTCCACTGAAAATACTTCTTCAAATCTCGTGTTGAGCTCTTCCCATACTTCTTGGTCACATCTTGTGATCTTCCTTTCTCAGTCCGATTGACTGTCGTTTTCTTCCTGATGTGGCTGTACATCAGCTTTGGGTCATATTTGGCTGTCGATGCTGTGTTATTCTCATATTACCGCTGGGCCTCCCTCGTTATCCAGGTATATTCCTTTCTGGCTCTTCGGCTAATATTCTTATTTTCCTGAGTCCTTTGTCTTCTACACCTTTTCCATTCTCTAGCACACTGAATTTTGGCCTCACTTTACTGTTGGGGAAACCAGGGGATGATCCTGGTTGTTCCAT